CGACCTGCCCTTCTTGCCCGTGTACTCCACTTGTGTCCCGATCTTGACCATGTCCGCCGTCACCTTGGGGTCCTTGTCGAACTCGGCCACGGCGACCATGAGCATCGCGGCAAAGAACAAGTTGAACAGCAGCGGGGCCAGGTTGCATCCCTGTCGGAGGCCTTGGCCCACGTCGAACCATTCCGAGTACTGCCCGTCGTCCGTTCGGACGCGCGCCCTCATGCCCTCGTGGAAGTGGCGAATGACCGCCAGCATCTTCGGGGGCACGCCGAAGCGTCGGAGCACGTCAAGTTTTTCAGTGAATGGGGGGAAACAGCAATCTATTCTATTCAGACGGGGGCACAGACGGAACGTTTACCTTCCAAACCTCAAACCTCCCTCGTCCAAGTTTGTCGTTGGTGACGTATGCAGCGGTCTGCCTCATGAACGATTCCGAAGCAACTCTCTCTTTTGTTCGGTCTCTTGATGGATGTGGATGTATTTCTCTATAGCTCTGAGTGGGACCTCCCGTGATATCGCCCATTGACGCACCTCTTCTGAACTTATAATAACGACTTGTTCGAATTTTCTCGGCGAAGCAAGATGTGCAACTTGTTTTCGTTCAAGACTCTTACCCACCACCATGTACGTGGTCGCCATGTTTTGTTGTTACAAGATTTGCTTCATGACGTGTTTATGTGTGCGCGGACAATTCGCGGTTTTTGGCTTCGCTGGATACAGAAGTATGTGACCTGTACTATAGGCGAAACAAATGGGTGATCCTGTAATCAACAGCAATAGATCTCTCCGACCAACAGCAAATCAGTGCCAACTTGAGCTACAGGTGCTTACGTTGCGTGGGCGGCAACGCTTAGGTGCAGTACACCTTGTGGGCAATGCGGGAACCGGACGTAAAACTACTTGAAAGTAGATGTACTTGTGGTGCGTAGCTGCACGGGGAATTTTGAATCTGTCCGGCGGTGAGGTCATACGCCAAACTTCGTGGGCCGGCGCCTGTAGGGTTGGTCTATCTCAATCTTCCCGTTTTCAAGCCGTCAGACGTACGTACTCAAGAAGGCAAATCGAACCGTAACTCAAGAGTGCGCCCATCTCAATGGTAACGTGAGCCCCGTAAGTCTAGTGGTCATCGTGCTTTTAGACAAAAGTTAATGCCCGTGTCCGTTCTTGCTTTTCAGCCACGAACACGTCTCCCCAGGGTTGCCATCCCTGTGATCAGCGCCGTCGTGCCCTGAAAGTTTCATCGCTACTCCCTCCCAGGAATACTAAACAAATAGAAGTCTCCCGCATACCTCCCCCCCCCCCCCCNCCCCCCCCCCCCGGAAACACATGTTCATATATCCCTCGCCCCCCCCCGCTTGCCCTCATTCTTACCTCATCCGTGTGCAACCATACCCCGACCTCCCCGGACTACTCCAGGAGTACAACAACCGTTTCAGCAAGACCGTCGAGTGCGACCAGGAATGCCCCGGATGTGAGTGTTTCACGAAGCGAAAGTCCCGAAAAGACCGCAAATAACACAACGTTCAAGAAGTCTACAAAATTCGATAGGTTCATGTTTTTGTTGTGTAGCATACTTGCCTAGGATCGGCACGTGTTGCTGGCGGCCTCTGGGGTCGTGTCTGTTGAGTACTAGGCCACTGCTGTGGTACAGCAGTAGCCTACCCGCGCAGAAGAGTTGAGATCCATCCCAGCAGCAACCACAAGATCGTATCCCCGAGAGGGTGCGAGTGTGCGGTCCGGGCGTCGCTGCGATCACTCGGCCGCATGCAGGTTGACACAGGCGCGCGTGTGTAGCGTACGGGTTTGGAGCACTCGTCGCAGCGATTCCGCCAGTCAGTCACGCTCGTATTCTCAATTCCTTGTGTTGTGTGCACTTGCTCATCATCTAACGTGTAACCCCTGTTGTCGTCTATTGCCCCCCCCCGTCCCCCCCCCCGTCCCGGCTTGATGCTCGCTGACCGACGAAACCTATGGATGGAACGACCTCTCGTTTCTCTGCGAAAAAAGTGATCAACTGCAACATGTTCGGGGTTTGCGAGCAGTGCCGCGGATGCTTCGAAACGTGCGAGGGTGCAATGCTGTGAGTATGGGTACCGTGCATATCGCCGTGCCAGGTGTGCGAATGACGACAGGATCTTTCGCGATTTCCCCCCTCCCCCCGACGTGGTAAAACAAGCCAACTTACTTCGTGAACTCTGCAACCAGGTTACCGTTTTCTTTTTTGCGGTTACCACAATGGTGGTCGAGTATATCACCTTGTGCGGGGTGGAGAAGCCCCACTCCGCGCCAAGGGAGATGATCGCACCACGTTGTGTTGAAATGGTCAAACACCCTCGAGGCAGTTACACAGTGCTTATAACTCCCTGGAAGTTAAAGCACCAGAAAATATGTCATACGCAGCTGTCATCCGTACGCAAGGAAGCAAGCACGAGATTCCGAACACCCTTAGCAGGATGCAGCGCACCCTTCATGCGACTCGCCGAATATCTCA